CGCAGCAACCGGCGCTGGGCTCTGTTCCAGGGCCAGAGACATGACACGGACTGCTTCTAGGCTCGACTTAAGAAAAACGGACCAGGAAAGGGGGGGAAACTTCATGACTCGAACTATTACCCCCTTACCAGTTGGGATTCTATTCTTTTATTTAATATGTATCTTCTGGGCAGCCCACTAAGTGTAAATCCCGGTTCTACGAACTTGAACAGAGCAGACAGCCAACCCCCAGCCTTACAGCGTCTCCCACCCGGGGAGGGACCGCCAGTCAGCTAAAACCATACTGGATGAGTAAACCCAACAGAATGTCCGAAGGTGCTAAATGCCATGGAGAAGTACAGAACAAGGTCCTGGGACACGGAGTGCAGGTGGGCAGGCTGCTATGTCCATGCGTGGGGCAGAGGGGCCCTCACCGAATGGGTGACCTTTGAGCAAAGAGCAGGAAGAAGCGGGACGGGCGAAGCCCCGGCTCCCTGGGGAGCAGAACAGGCTGCGGCCAGGCAGGGGGAGAGGGCGGAGTGCCGGGGGGGGAGGGCGGGTCCGGCTGGTGCAGAGCAGAGGGGTGACCTGGTCCATCCTTGGCAGGCAGCAGTGACTCCCCCACAAGCAGGGTCGAGTGGGGGTGTAGGCGAGGGGAAGAGACAAATGAGTGGGAACCCGAACGACAGGGGGGTCCAAGGGGCAAGAGAGGCCGTCCAGCAGCAGCACAGGGAGGGCGGCCCTGCTGCGCCCGTGGCCACGCCCCTCACGGCCAGACCTCTTGGGGTCTTTGTGATCTGGAAGGGGAGCTCAGCTGGAGAAGTAGGTCATTTGATGCCAAAGCACTGCACCCGGGCTGTGGGCCTCCTCTGGGAGCTGGCTCTTCTGGGGGGAGCAATGGGCTGGCCGGCTGTGGGCAGAATCCTGTGCTGAGCGTGACAGACAGGAGACCCCAAGGCCACCTTCATGCCGCGTTCACCCCCACCTGAGTCTGCAGACTTCAGAACCAAACTGGAAATGAGGCTTATCATGTTCAGTCTTTAAAAAGCTAGCCTTAGCAACAGTGGGCAGGAAAACACTCAGAGACCGTCCAACGTTGAGGACGAGAAAACTCTGCCCCACACAGATCATGCTTGGTCCGGTAACAGCTGCTCAGGGCTCCCGCTGTCTTTTTAGGCATGGAAATCGTTTTCTGCTACATAGTTTCGAAGTGCTCACACTTTTGGTGAGAAGGATCAACAGATGACAGCATCCGGACAAAATGGTTATTAAAATACCTTGGCAGAACTTTAGCGATGGTAGCACCAGGCCCCCGTCCTCGGGGGCACCCGTCCCGTCCCCACTGGGGGCCCTTCTCTGGCCGGCACCAGGCGGCCAGAGCCCCCGGGCTGTCACACAGCCAGGTCCCCAGGCCACGTCGGTCACGCAGCAGGTGCGCCTGCCCCTCCTCCCATCCAGAGGATGCAGAAGACATCACAGGAGGGCGATGTGTAGCTGTGTGACCCACACCACTGCACGCAGGCCTGCCCGTGCCCACGAGGCCCTGCCCAGCCTCCCCTTGGCACTGCGCCCGCTAGCTGGCTCCTGCCCCTCTGTTCCCCAAGCACAGTCGGTCCGGCCAGTGCTTCCCCCACAGCCTCTTGGCCTCAGCAGGGCTGCTCCCCAGGGACAGATTTTGGTCCTCATCCTCCTTCCAGGGGCATCAGCACCGTGGACCACGCCCCAGGGGGCTCTGTGCCCTCGGCCGCAGTCGTAACAGTCAGCCTCCGGGGGCCCTGGGCCACCGCCTGGTGGCTCTTTGAAGCTTCTGCTCCCAGCTCATGCCAGTGGCGTCCTCCGCCAGCTCCCTGCTGTCCCTGAGCACATACACGGCCGCTCATGGCTGGGGCCCAGGCGTGGCCCTCCCCTGCCCCGCCCCCTGCTGCAGGCAGCACACCGCCGTGCTCTGCTAGCCACTGGGAGTGCGGGCTGAAGTGTCTGTCCGACACACCACGCTCCAGCCCTCAACGGCTGTGGGGCAGAGGAGTGGGGCTTGGCCCAACTTTCTTGCATCAGAAAGATTTTTAAGAGACCTTGATAAAACTAGTGCTTCCTGCTCTTTGATGTGCTTAAGGAAAAGAACATTTTCTTGTTGGAGAAGCAAACACCCAGGAAGCAAGAACAGGAATGAGCTGAAAGCCAAGTTCTTTATTGTTATTTTAAAATAACTAGCTGTAAGAATCAAAAAGCTTCAGGACAGTTTGGATATATTACTCAATTGCCTTTAAACTCTAACAAAAAAGGGGGGAGAAGATTGCCTTATGTAAAGAAAGAGTGGGTGAAATGTGGACACTTCAAAACAGATTGGTGTTCTATTCTAGAAGAGTCAAGTGCATTGCTAACCACCTGACCAGGAAGGAGACACGTCACAGGGCTCTGCGGTCTACTGGTGACTTAATTTAAAATGGACACCATGCAGGACAGAAGGCTGTCAGGGGACAACAGAGCCGCCTGAAGCCCACCACCCCCACCCCGACCGCTGGCCACGGCCTGCCCCAACGACAGCCAGGGAGCACGAGCTCTGGACCCCACGGGGCACGTGGGTGCAAAGCAATTCCTCACGGGGAGCCGGGCCCTGGTGCCTCTGACTGCTGGTCCTACTCACCCTTGGTGCAGAGGATCTCGACTCTCCTCCTCCAGCCCCTGAGCTCAGCCATCGAGGGCTACTGCCCCCGGAGGCCTGTGAGGGGTTTCCTCCACCACGGCTGCCCGAAGACTGTGCCCAGTCACCGCCCTCCTCTGGGTGTGTGGGCCGAAGAGTGAGACACCACGGCTTTCCTCCCTGGTGCCACACTCCCCGGGGACACCTGGCCTTCCTCCCCTTGTTGGGCCAGCTCATGCACAGGACACGCACAGAGCTTCCCGAGGATCTGACCCCAAATCAGGCCATGCTCACCCGTGATCCTGCGCTTGTATGGCTGATGCCAGGACCTGGGTCCCGACCTCACTCCTGCCTCCAAATGCTGTGTTGTCAGCTCTGTCCACCCTCAGCCTGGAGGGGCACAGGCCACGCACCTCATCCTGCTGTGTCCACAGTGGGCCTTCTGTGGCTCACCCGAGTTCAAGGGAGCAATGCTGACCGCAAATGGCTTGAGGATAGAGCCCTACGTCCTACCACTGGAGACCTGTCTACATGTCATCATTCCACCCTGTCTTACTGGATGCAGTCAAATTTGATGTGTGCCTTCGAGGGCCTGCCTGAACCCCGCTTTGTATCTCCCGTCAGAGCCCTCCTCAAGTGCCTTGTGGGCCCACCGTCTGCTGCATGTCCCCGCTGGGGGCCTAGGAGGGCAGCCTCGGGGTGAGCCTGAACCAGCTCTCGGAGATGTGCCTCCTGGAGGAACCCTAATAGGCGCTCGAGCTTCCAGGCTGAGACACTGCAGGGACGGAGCCCCAGGACACGTCTATGGCGCATGAGACGGGCCTCAACAGGGGCCTTCCGAGGCCAGGCAGGGGCAGCCCTGCTCGGGGGACGCGGCTGGTACTCCTCACATCACCCTTTCTGGGGCTTCGGGGCCGTCTGGCCTTGGTGTCTCCCAGTAGGGGTCAGTGCAGTGGGAGCGGCGCCCTCCCCACCAGGGCCTCTTTGACTGGAGCCTGGCTTGTAGCCTGACAGCTACTGGGTAATGTCCACCTTGGCCTCCCCGGCATCCACCCTCCAGGCCACTCTGCTCTCCAGCCTTTTCCTGGACGGGACGTCAGGGGTCCTCACAAGTGGCCCGGGGACCCCAGCACTGCCCGCGCCATGTGGGGTCAGCGCTGCACGGCTGGGGTGGTCTGTCCTCCCAAGTTGTGTGTCCTCCGGCCTCATTTCAGGGCCTTGTCACGCGGGCTCCCTTGAGTCTTGGTGGTGACCAGGGGGGGATGACCAGCACAGGGACAACAGCACCCCCCCACTGGACACCCGGGGAGCCTGCCCCGCAGGACTGTGTCCTTGCCGGCTGCAGACCTGCACATGTCAGTTTCGTCTCCTGAGGAAGGGGCTGTGAGTCTCAGGGGACAGCGTGGGAGCAGAGCTCAAGGGCTGCCTCCAGGCGTCCCGCACGTGGGCCCCCGGCACCTCCCTCCTCAGGCCGGGCCCTGCCTGTGCTCCCTGGGGCAGCAGCTGACTTGCTTCTGGGACCCAGGCGCCCACGCCACAGCAAGCAACAAGGGGAAGCTGTGCTGTAAGGGGCCGGGACCTGGCCTTCAAGGGGGTCAGGAGGTAGGTGTGGGACCCCATATCCAAAGGCCTGCGGATGGGCTTAGAATTTCAGGAAGAGCACATTTCCAAAAATCCTGGTGGAAGCTACAGGTAAGTTCCGTGTCACAAACTTCAGAGGCTCGGCCAACTGCAGAGCATCCTGTCGAGGGCGGCACCTCCTGTCCTGACATCCAGTCCACACCCAGCTGGGCAGCTCTCCCCACCGGGAGCACCAGCCAGGAGGGAGGGGCCCCGGCCCAGTGTCATTCCGGGATGTGATGCTCCCAGGGACTCTCTCCCTTGACCGCTCACTCCCTCTCCCGTCCGGACCCTCTGAGCTCAGCTGTGCCAGCCAGCATCTCCCTGACGCGCTCCTGCGGCCTCAGTGGGGACACAGCACAGGGGCCCCAGCCTGGGCATCGCTACGGGTTCAGAGCAGGGAGCCAGGGCTCCACGCCCCAGCCTGCAAGACCGGCACAGGGACACCGCCCCCAGAACTTACCTGAGAACCCCCCGAGAACTGACTGTCCACAGGGAAGGAAGAGAGATTAGAATATTCTCAACATGACCCACAGCAAAGGTGAGCACCTTTAAAATACAGGATCCTGAGCCACCTTTACAGAGAAGAGGGTTCTGGGTCGTCCTCTTGCTCACCTCCTTCAGCCCTAACCAGAGAGCCTGGTCAAACGGGTAGCAGTCCTCTACGGGGTGAGCGTTGACCCAGAGCCGGAGCACAGCTGCGACAGGCCTGGGCCCTGAGCCCGCCACGGAGCGGCCCCGGGCCCCTTGGTCCTCCTACCTCGTTGCCCAGCAAAGCAGAAACACATGCTTCCGAGGCGTCGCAGATGGCCGTGAGGTCGTGGCCCCCCTCCAGGGCCAGAACGATCCGGCCGCCAGCCAAGCCCATCAGCTGCTTCGTCAGGTACCCGAAACCTGCAAGAGGAAACGGGAGATGCAAGCGGAAGACAAGGGCGAGCTGTGGAGCCGACGCCTGGCCGCGGATCAAAGCGCCCGAAACGCATTACGTCACATTACAGAGACCCGGGGGCTGGCGCTCTGAAACACATAATAGAAGCCAGGTCTGACCGTAATAAATTCATCGAAGAATTTCAGTTTGGGATTCTTTTTGATCTGTTTGAGAGTAGGAATTACGGTTTTGGTGCTTTGATTTTATAATGCCGCAAATCATCTCGTTTGGGGGAAGGAAGGAACCCCAGGAGGAGCCCCTCAGCTTGCATGCTGGGACCGCAGAAGGGGGAGCATGAGCTCGTCCCCATGGTGTGCCCTCGCAGCCTGGGGACCAGAGGCCCGGGGGTTCTGGTCAGCAGTGTGCTGAGCACAAGCGTGTGCGTGTCCATTCGCGGGCACACGCACCACCGGGAGGGCCCCTCCTGGACCCCCACACCCCAAGTCTGGTGGGTCTGGCTTTCACCGACAACCACAGGGTGCCCCCTGCATCCACATCCCCTCCCATCCAGAGAGCGCCTGGCGGGTAATGGTGATTACCATCCTCACCAGAAGCGTCTGACGTTGATTAGAGCCGAACAAAACCGCGCCACCCTGGTCACCAGCTGCCACCAGCACACCGGGTCCAGGGCTGGGCAGTGCTCCTGGCGCTGTGGGCCTGGCGAGACCGAAACCTCCTGAAGCCTTGGCTTCGTCTCTCTCTGATGGAAACAGTGACGCGGGCCCCGAGTGCACCTGGTCCTGCACTTCACGGGAATGCACCTTCCGCAGAGGGAAGGTCCGTGGCCGCCCTCAATCGAGCACGTCTGGAGACACCATTCTTCCACAGCACGTGCTCACTCTGCGTCTTTCTGTCACATTTTGGTAATTCTCACAATATTTCAAACTTGTTCATTATTATTATTATGTTACGGTGATCACAACTCGCCTACAGCTCACATGACGGTCAGCACATTTTAGCAACAAAGTTGCTTTCAATGAAGGTCTGTACATGGTTTTGCAGACCGTCTAGTGCATGTCTAACACACTACAGTGCACTGCTAACGTCACTCTTCGATGCACTGGGAAGCCCCAAGTTCACCGGCCTGGCTACACTGCGGCACCTGTTTTACTGCGGAGCTCTGGGGCTGAAGCCGCGTTATTTTGGGGTGAGCCCGTAAGGCTCGGAACTTGGCAACGATCTGGCCGCGCGGAGGGGTGCTGGGCACCCTGCTCGCTCTTGGCCCTCTGCCCGGTCACTGCGTGGGCCACTGGGCCTCCGGCTGGGTCAGGAAGTCTCTGAAGTCTGTGCCGGAGCACGGCCCCCAGGAGAGCTACCCTGCGCACCCTGGTCCACACCGGCTCGCCGTGCACCCTGTGTTCTCTGGGGCAGCTGGTGTGGTCATATTTTTAGTTAAGACCTGACGAGGAGAGTTCCCTCCCATTGTTACTAAAGGGGAGGCTTGAAATACAGAGCACACCTGGTCATAAACACAGCAGAACCCAGACTGTGTTCCTGGACCATCTGCAAATCCGACTTACATTTAGCGGAGAGGTTGTAGCCGCCGAGGGGTGTGGGGTGGCCCTCCACAGCGTCGAAGCCTGACGACACGAGCACCACATCTGGGGCAAACTCGTTCGCGATGGGCATGACCACGGTTCTGTAAAGGACAGGAGAGGGGGACACAGGGTCAGCTGGGGACACAGCCATGGAGGAGGGTGGATGGCCACTGACAGAGTCTGCCCTGTCTCCCCTCAAGGTCAGCAGGATAAGGGCTCCATGAGGGAGCTGGGAGATCAACCCAGTATGATCACGGCTCATTTCATTGATATCTTAAATGTCCAAACTGGTAAGCCCCAATATAAATGCCCAGTGAAGCCACAGCACAGGGGTTCTTGAGTAGGCTCGGTGGTACATTCAAGGCAACCTATAACCCCCACGGCACCAGCTGACCAGGCTGCTAAAGGTCCCCCCTTCCCCTCATCCCTGTGCCCTGGCTGTCCTGTCTTGCTCCTGTGGGGGGTGGCTCTGCTCACCCCTACGCTTTGCTTTATGTGGCCCTGATTCAAGACCGGCACAGCCACCGACTGCCCCCAGTACCAGGAACCCAGAGCTGTGTGTCTGAGGGGGTGGGGGAGCCCCTGAGCAGCCCTGGTCTGGAGGGGGCCCTGGTGTGCTCCTTCCACCCACCCGAGGCCACAGCACCAGCCACACGTGACTGGACCCGCACACATGCGTGTAAGGGTGATCGCTGGGCCAATCTGACACCTGGGATCTGTAAAGCGACAACTGGTGATCAAATTTAAGAGAACAGACAGGTTACAAATGTAAACACCACTGGGAAGTTCAGTGGTTTAGGGATACCAGGGAAACAAGGAAACCCGTCCACTTGAAAAGTAGAAAAAACACTTCTTAACAGGAAACAACCACTCACGAGCATGCAGTCTAATTATATCCTATAAATATGTGCTCTGTGCTCTGCGACCGCATTACGACGAGAAGCTAAACAACTTTGTCAGTTAAACTTGCTTTATTCCATTTTGAACGCATCACCACAGACTTCCAGAGTCTCCCTCCTCTCTCTGGGCCGTGTGCCTGCAGCGGGCTGGGAGGCGGCTCGCCATCACCCACGCGCCATGCATGTCCGCGGGACTCCTCACTTGCTCGTGGCCACGGGAAGTCCGGGTTTCCCCAAGTTTCTGTGGCATCAAAGGGCTGCTTCCTGTTCCTGCAGCTTCCAACGGCGTGCAGGTCCTGCTGCTCACCTCTGACTCAAGTCAGTCAAGCAGGTGTCCACAGGCCCACACGGGGAGATGGCGGCATGCCCCCAGCCTGGCCCACGGTCCCCTCCCACCCAGGTCAGCAGGGAACACCAGGGCCACAGCACAGCAGGGCTGGGACGAGAGCCTCCACAGTCTCTCGTGCCTTGTAGTAGCAAATAAAATTTTATACTAATGTCTGCGAAGTCTACTCCATAAAGCACCAGCATCAGCCAACAGAAGCAAAATGAACAGTTTCTCTGCTCAGAATGATTCCGACTGTGATCCTCTCGAGAAGTCCCTCTGGTTCTGGGGGGTGAAGTGATGGAAACTACACACAAGGTTAAGATCCGGCCGCGCATCTCTGCAGGAGGCGTGGGACACGCACGGCCTGATGCTTGAGGACCCTGCCGGCAAGCCCTTCCGAGAAGGATGTCTGCGATGCAGGAGCAGCCTCCGGGGGTCCCTCTGATCAGGTCAGGCACTGAGAAGATCTGCCGTACCGACAGGCCCAACCGCACACGCGGGTGCTCTGCCAGCCGAGAACCTCACCTCTGGACCCTCAAACTGGGTGGCCACAGGCCAGCGTTGGCTCCTGAACCTCACATGGCTTTCCTCTCTCTTCCGAGGCTGTGCCCAGTTCACGCAGCCTCCTCTGGACTGCGTCTGCCCCAGGCTGGTCAAGTGGCTTCAGGGGACCCAGGTCTGCGCCCAGGGGACCATCTGTCAGGGGCCGCAGGAACACCACCTGTGACTCCTGACCAGGGACCAGCAGACATTCCCGCCAACGGCCAGAGAGTGCACGTCATCTTCGGGACACAGGGCCTGTTGCCATGACTCACACTGCCCTTGTCGTGAGAAAGTGGCCACATCTGTATGTGAACACGTGCGCGTGGTACGTTCCACTAAAACTTAAAAAACACGTGGTGGAATGTGGCCTAGGCCCACTTCACTGCTGTCAGAATGACTCTTCAGCACACGACACCTGCCTCACACTGTAACACGCTTCCTCATGTCCACTGGGACACTGCACAAAGTTCTCCGACTCTGTCAACACGAAGTGCACACCAGTCTTCTAAGCAGACCGTTTGCTCAGGGCCCGCGCCGGAGCGTGGGTTAATGGTCCGGCCATGGCGGGACGGCCGGTGTGGGCAGAGGGATGGGGGAGTGCCTCGGAAGCCGGGACAAGAGCCCCGTGTTCACCTCATGGCCAGAGACGCCGTCTGCCTCCCCGCGGGAGGACCCAGTTTCCAGGCAGGGCCGGTCTACACCGGCCAATGCTTTTCACTGCCTGTGCCCTTCCAGAGAGACGGTTTTCTGATTATTTTAATGAAGTTCCTGTCACATAAACAGTCTTCAGGCCGAAGAACGGTTTTAGCCATGTGTTTGGTATGGATCTTACAGCCAAGACCTTTGTTCAGTGAAAAACACAGACACCTTGTGTAGACAGTGGCTCATTCACAAAGCACTTTAGCAGCCATTTTGCAGCAAATGCATGTGGTGGGCCTAGTTCTCTGCTCTGAAGTACTGCTGAGCTATTCCATTTCTAATCCCCCTCACAAAATTAAAAAAAATAGCCCCATTAAAACCTTCATTAGAGGAAGTTAATACCAAGTGAGTCCCTGGTGTCCACACTTGCTGTGTGGCATCACGCAAAGCCAATCAAAACAAAATGTGAAACCCCGTGTCTGCATGTGTGCGTAAGCGGGGCACGGGCCCATCAGACACGCGCAAGCGTGAGCCGTGGACGCACGTGCACACACTCATTCTATTCCCCTGGTTTGGAGCCCTGCAGGTTGTAGTCGCAAACACCAGCTGAAGCTAAGAAAGTCTGCAGTGCTGTTGAGAGCCAGCCGTGCGCCGAGTGGTCTCCAGACTGGTTCTCGGGAGCCCTGAGAAATGTCACCTCCCCTCAACAGAGTCTGCTTCTTCACCTACAAGAAGGAGGCTGAACGCGGCTCTCCTGAGGATCCCGTCAGCCTCCTAGAAACCCCACATCATCATCCTACCCAGGACCCCCATGCTTCATAGATGTCACAATGAAAACGGGAATCTAGCCTTGCATTTTACTTCTAGAATGAAATTTTAACAAACAATGTAGCCTTGGATACAGATGTCAATATTTACAGCAGACCTTCTCTCAAACCATCGCTGTAAGGTGAGTGTTTCTGGGGGTCATCTCTGACCTCCTGCAGGGCAGCCTGAGGGCAGAGGGGGTGGGCTGGGGGCTTCCCAAGGCTGCAGACCAACCACTGTCCCCTCAGAGCCAGGGGGAAGGGCATGTCTCCCAGAGAAGACATGGGCCAGTGTCCGTGCCTGGCACACCCCTTACCGTAGGAAAGCAGAGAGCACACGGCTCTCAGGAGCCACCACCATCATGTCCCTGAGCCCCCTCTGTGTGCCCTGGCTGTGAGGGCTGGGGCTCAGGGACGCAGCAGTCGGAGGGACGGAGCCTGGGCCTGGGAACAGCCCCGGGACGTTGCCCACTCCCTTCCCGAGGCCTCATCAGGGCTGGCTGCCAGTGAGCTGCTCAGGGACACAGCCCTCCCCTCACCCCTGCAGCTCAGTGGCCACGTCGCGGCCTTCCACGGAGGAGGGCTGTGTGTCCAGGAGAGGTGCGAGCTGTCACAACAGATGGGGTGGCCTGAGCACACTTTGCAAATGTGAAGCATGCTTGCTATCAGTCTGGGGCTGTTCCGTGGCGGGGACAGTGCCAGGAGCGTTTATGGGGCACGTCCAGCTAACACCACAGAACATCAGATTACACAGGTGTACAAACACGTCTCCAAAACCCACAGGGGAATCTGAGTGCAGTAACCTGTTCAACAGTTGGTTTCAACTTCTGGAAGGAAATGACTTCTTTGATTTGTCTCCCAACCACAGCCCCACACAAAACGCACCAAACTCATGGACATCAGAGGCCTCGGGCCCGTGGCGCTGTCCCCGGGGACTGTGCCTACCCATGCCAGAGAGCACGTGGGAACGTGGGGGGCAGCCCAGGGCCTCCGAGGGCCCCAGGAACACGGTCCACACCGCCGGCCCACAAACACCTCTTTGCACCAGGTGCCTGAGGACTCACACGGCAGAGCCTGTGGCTTCGTCCTTCTCGTGTGCGTTTGGTCAGGCGTCTGCAGCTACAGAGTTCTCAGGAGGTGGAGCTGCCCGATGGACAGAAGCCACTGTTTCTGAACGGACAGACCCCGTTTCACAGGAGCCTGGTGCCCTCGGTAGCTGATGACACGATTTAAACCACCACAGCATTTTGATCATTGGAAACCCCTTCTGTCGCACGCTGGGCACACCCTGGCTTCGAGGGCCAGGAGGGGACTGGGGCGCTTGCTCTGCGACCTGGGTCGGCCGCACCTGTGCTGCACCTGCGGTGGGCCGGGACTCGGGGCACCTGTGCAGCTGTGACTGCTGGGCTCCGGGGGCTCCACAGGTTGAGAGAGCATCTTCACCGGGTCACTGGGCCCACCAAGCATTCCAAAGCCGCTGAGAGTTGGAGTCAGAAGACAGATAAAAATGGGAACCACGCACTCAGCCCTGGCCGTGCCCCCGACAGCGATGCCCGGCACCCCATTCTGCTCCGTCCACCCCAGGGCACTGTGGCCGGCGAGAGCATACAGGCCGCCAGGGCAAAGCCAGACACTGAGGCCAGGCCCTCAGCCGTCCCCTCTCCTCTCTGCCCCCGCTTGGCACCCCCATGGCCCCTGGACCCGCACTTCCCAGCTTTCTGTGCTCTGCTCGCCCAGACCCTGCCCTGGTGAGGTGGGGACGCCCCTCCTCTCTCCCTGCTGCCTCCTCAGAGGTGAGGTAAGCGTGCCTTGCTCTGACCCCTGCCCCTCCCTGCTGCTCCTGGCTGGCTGTCACTTGCAAAAGGTGGGGCGCCTGGCTCTGCTGGCTTCTCCACCCCTCCCGTCCAGCATCCCGCCAACATGGTGCCCCTTCCCCTCGGCCACCATGCTCCCCACTGGGCTCAGCATGGCTGCCCTGCCCCCACGTGCTCCGAGCTCTGTCCCGTCACTGCCTTCAGGCCTCTCGGCCTGTCTAGGGCCTGGCACTCTCGGCCAGCAGCCATCCATCTGCTAGCGCTCCCGTTCCTCCCCACCACCAGGAATATACAACAGAGGCGGCACTGCCTGCTGAGGACGCCCCACAGACCCACGCCTGGCATGATGAGCAGGTCTCTGCTGGCCCGGGCACCGCAGCCCAGGCCTCTCCCAGTGGCTCCTTTCTTGCTACGAAGCCAGCCTGGGTCTCTGCCTCAGTGTCCCCATGTTCTCTCCTGAGCTCCTGCCCCACTCTTGGCAGGGCCCTGGCTTCCCTTGGGGAACTCAACTCCAAGCAGCAAGTATTTAGGAGATGGCCCCTCCCCACCCGAGTCCCCCTCAAGGCTCCCACTAGACAGCTGTGGAACATCCAGACCTGCCATGTTGGTCACCTGGGCAGAGCCCCCGACATGCTCCTTGAAGGACAGGGCCACGGTCCCCAGAGGTGGCCTCACACGCCCGTGGGCTCGCACTGCAGGTCTCTTCCCGCGGGGGTGCCTGACAACCCATCCCAGATTCGTTCCTCCAGGACTCAGCCAGGAAGCTCCTGCCCCTCTGCGGGCAGGTGCCCCAGCACCACGTCACTGCACTTGCCCGCATGCACTAGGGCCGCTGGGGGGGGCCCGCTGTCCCGGCTCCGTGCTGCCCTCCAGGAAGGCTGCTAAACATGAGTGTACACACTCCGCTTCTAAATCACCACAGAACGTGCCGGGTAACACGTCCACGTAGGAAAAGACGTGGATGCCCTTCGAGAGACAGAACTGCCTTCAGTAAACAACGTCCAGGGCTTTGCACCCAACGTCTTCACGACAGTGAATCCTGGACGGAGGCAGAGCCTCTGTGGCTGGACTGGGCAGTGTGAGCGTGGTGGGCACCGCCGAACCGCACACGCCACATGGCTAAGACAGAAAGTGTTCTGTGCATTTCACCACGACAATAAACAAATACAAATTTTTGTTTAAAAAAAAAAAAACACCCGCCCCCCAAAAAAAACACCTTATGGAAGTAACGGAAGTTCAAAGAGCTTCAATCTAGAGCTTCAATCTTTATGTCACGCTTGAAAGGTTGGGGGGGACATGAAACGAGTCTGCCCAGTTGCTCAATTTAAAGGCAAATCTCAAGTCATTAAAAGATTAAAGTTACCACTTCAAAATATCCAGTTTCTCTGACATCTTTGATAAACTTTATAAAATCACACTTAAATGGAAGTTACGATCTAGAAGCACACGTAATCCCAGTTTCATTTCCTGACTGCACAGGCGACCCGCTCGCCCCCAGACGGCAGGCAGGCGAGGGCTGAGGGCACATCGTGGTGTCCGTCCGCCCAGAACCCTCGCCTCTGCTCAGCAGACTTCAAAGCCCGTCTGGCGGCGCACTGGTTTGAATTAGGGTCGCCGTTTCTCAATCTGAGCCCGGGGAGAAAGTGCGGCTCCTTCTGGATTTCATTAGGGGCACCTTTCTTATCTCTTCTTCATCTCAGGCTTGATCTCCTGAAATGCAACGTGGCAGGCAACGGGTCTGAGTAACAAGGTGCTGCCTCCAAGGCACACACTGTCCCCGGGGGCCCGCCCCCCCCCCCCCCC